ACCTGGAGGGCTCTGCATGCATACATGCAGAAAAACATGCAGTGATCCACAGACATACATGCCAGCAAAACAGCCATACTAATAAAATAACTGAAAAATTATGCAAAAAGAGAGGTTAGGACAAAGTCTAAGGGAAGCTGTGAGATGTCTCAGCTTGAACATTTGATGGAATGCTAACTCTCCTGGTTTGATCTCGACACACAGTATACATGCATCTAATTATCACACTGTACCCCACAAATACATACAACAATAACTCAATAATAACACAAGAATCAGAAAGCTCCCCCTCTTTAATTGTTCCACAGCATAACACTAAGTTATACTTCAGTTTGTCTCAAAGATTGCCTGTATTATGTCACTGAGACATGAATTCTTCACCAGGATGTGCCCTCCTGTTGGAAGGACGTTGTGGCTCCCCACGACAACGCTGGCCACAAATATGATCATTTAACCCCTATCTACTGGTTATCTGCTATCTGCTGGGCGTTGTCATGGCTACTGGTTGGTTAGTTCTTAGCTCAGTTGAATCGGGGAGACCCAGTGTCTCTACAGCTGGCTCCATGAGCCCCAGTTTTGTAATTCTTTTTTGAAGTGTGGAAATAGATGGTTGTAATGGCTGTGCGATAATGTGAATGTATTTAGTGCCAGCATGTTGGTCACATAAAAAGGGTAAGATGTGTGTATGCTTTAACACCCTAGGAGAATAGTATAAACCTTATAGAGAATTAAATAAGGCCGCCATGCAATTAGAATGATAACAGGTGCAGCAATTCTCGGTATTAGTCATTATTATAAATATTCTCCAGAGTCAGGGAGATGGCTCGGTAGACAACAGTGTTAACTGTGCACACCTGATGACTTGAGTTTGAGCCCTGAAACCCATATTGAAAAATCTGGGTGCTTTAGCATGCCTCTGTAATCCTGGCATGCTCTGGGGAAATGGGAGGGAGAGACAAGAGTGTTGTCTGGGAGCTTTGGGTCAGCTAGGCTGGAAAACGAAGCCCAGCAGCAGAAGCAACAAGGAGGATGCTGGATTGGCAAGGTGGAGGAGGAGAAGTGACTTACATAAATTATCCTCTGATTTCTACGTATGTTTCATGATGTGTGCGTTCTCACATTCAAGCACATACACACACGTGTGGTAAATGAGAAAGAAAAAAATTAAAATGAATAAGTAAATGAATAGTCTCTATTATCCTCTCTACAAGGGAGAACCAATAGATGAAAAATATAAAGCCTAGAAAAGCAAAAGTCCCCTGGACCACCACATACATAAAGCAGGGCATGAAAATGTTACCTGTAATCTGCCTAGATTTTAATGAGAACCTGATTCATTTCCTAAGAATTGTAAGTGGTTTGTGTAAGGAATGTACTGGAAGACTAATGTCTCCTCCCT